GATCCTTTAAATATTCTCCACCCAGTACCACAATTCAAGTGTTCGCATTCCTCTTCAGACTTCCTTATTTTCAGCACCCAGCTTTCACGTACATATGAGGCATTTGAAAATACCATGGTCAGGCGGATCTCAGTCCTCAAAGTAATATCTTTGCTTTTATCAAGTTGCAGTATTGAAAAATTCTATGGGCCAAATATTGAATGATGTAGAAAGCATGAAAAGAGGATGGAAAGGGGTTGGGGGAGAGAATGGAAAGACTACACAGTCACTGTACCAGAAAGAACTAGTAGGCATTCCACCATTTCAGGCAATAGCATGTGAGCGCAAACCAAGGGTGCTGAGGGAAGAAGTTCTAGCTGTACTGTATTAGCCAACACAAGGCTCTAGGAACGATGGAATACCAATTGAAATGTTCCAACAAGCTGATGAAGCACTGGAAATACTCATCTGTGCCAGAAATTTGGAAGACAGGTACTTGTCTAACTAACTGGAAGAGATCCATATTTGTATCTGTTCCAAAGGGAGGTGACCCAACAGACTGCCCAAATTATAGAACAATATCTCCTGAATGTTGAGTAGCTAAAAAAAAAAAAAGGAAGAAATGATGAAGTAAAACTGAACAGGGAGGGAGAAAGGGGGAAGCGATAACAATGATGGATGTACAACCCACCTCCTCGCCCCCAGGGGGATGAACAACAGAAACGTGGGTGAAGGGAGACGGTGGATGGTATATTTTGATCGATTTTCTTTTTTTATAGTTTTACTGATATAAAATCCATATATCATACACTTCCAGAGTTAAGTCACTTTTAAAGAGTTCTATATCCATCGTCACAATCAGCTCTAGTGCTCCCTCCCCTCCTCTCATTATTGGCTCCCTGATTCCCCTCACCCTACCCCCATCCCCGATTAACCTCTAAATCAATTATTGTCTCTATTCATCCACGCCTCCTGTGCTTCATAAACTGGGAAATCTAACATAAACACTAAAAATACAAAATGAAACAATGAAAATAACAATAAAATAAAGATACAAAATGAAAATAAGGCATAAGAAAGAAAAAAATCACCAACAATATTAAAATAAGCCAGGCAGAAAATTTGTCGTAGAGAATATTTAAGCGAGAAATATTTAAGCCTAGTACAAATTCAGATTGGCTCAAGAGGGAAGACATTGACTAGGTATCATATTATACCATAGTTCCATTCCCCCCAAATAAGGTTTACAATAATTTCTGTCTGATAGTAAAGCTATTAGGGTCCTGACTAGGTACTCTGCAGATGGATTGTGGTCCTGCACTGTCCACAGCCTTCTAAAAAGTTGATGTTCACAATCTAAGCTCTGATACTTTTCCCTTCATCATATTTGGATTCTGTTATTGTCATCTTTGGATCATGCAGGCTGGTGTGCTTCCATGTGGACTAGTTGATGCCTCACTTAGATGGCTGCTTGTTTTAATACAAGCCTTTAAGACTCTTCCAATTGATAGCTGGATACCATCTGCTTTCTTCACCACACTTTGCTGTAGCACGCATATCTTTGGTTATTTCTTCATGAAGGTGAACATTGAGACGCACCATGTTATAAGAACTGTTCTTGGATTGAGGCTAGCATTAAGTGGGAGCCCACAGTCCATCTACTGGTCTATCAGTTATGAATGGCTCTGGTTTACTCTAGTGGTCTTATTATCATTTTATGACAAAGGGGAAAACAAAGCATGATTGATCATCCCCCCGGGGTATAAAGCGATTCCAAAGATAACATCAATAATTTATCCAATGGCATAAAATTTAAGGTACTGTTGAGAAAAGGAGTTTATGTGAGTCTAGTCAAACTGCAATTCATGAGTTGTTGCTTTATACAGACTGAATTCTTAAATGATTGAACTCTTTATATTGAGCATGGGGGTTGGTGCTAAAGGAAAACTTCCTGTAGCATTCCTTATAAAGGAATATAACAGGTTCTTACCTACCAGATTAATACCTGTCATTTTTATACAAAGAGGGCATTGCGATAGTAATTACATGGTGGTTCTTGGTCCCCTTTCACCGGACACCAGGGATCCCAACCACGGGCCAATGACTGCCATTTCCACAGTCTTGGGGGGACCATCATTTTGCTTACTCTCCCATTAGGGAATTTCAGTCCTAAGTCCAAGGGTTACAGGTTGTTTTGTTGTAGGGCTCAGTTGGTTCAGTCTGGTTTCCACATGGAGTCCTTTTGATGTGGCCTTTGGGGGATGCCATGTTCCTATAAGACCAATGTTTAAGGTCATCATAGTGCTTAGTCCATGACATGGTTCACCAAAGGTTGGGTAGAAGCTAATGCAAACCTGTCTACCCAGGAACACAGAACCAGGTTTTTTCTCCCCTTGATAGATATTCTAGATCTCGGAGGACACAGATGAGCATGGGGACATATTAGGAAGAAGTTTTAGGAAAATTGGAAACTGCATTGGCGAGAAAAAGTCCTGGAAGCTTGCATGGAGGAATTATTTTCCATAACAATGTACCTGCTTATTCTTTGAAAGGAGCAAGGGTGAGCATTTCATTGGGAAACCTTTTTCTGTCTACCCGACAACTCTGACCCCTCCCCTTCAGACGGTTTACTTGGTTCTCCAAAACTCAAAGAATACTGAAAAGGAATATGATTTAAGTCTCTGAGGACTTATTTTGATGTGGTGTAAACAGAGAAGTATACAGCCTTTTGTGTGTGAGGGATTGTTTGCAGAGATAAAAACACAGAAGGATATAGAACTGGGTGGAGGTTAAGTCGAGAAACAATAGTTCATATTTTGGTATTTTTATTTAATAAAGCTTGATTTTATAGCAATAATTTACTCACTCCACTCATATATGAATATAAGGTGCATCTTATATTAGGGCAAGTGGACTCTCGATCTAAAGCTCAAACATTTCAGATTTAATAATTCCAATACACAGAAAGAGCAATTACTTAAAAATTTATTATTAAGAGAGTGTTGGATTATCTAAGTGGCGTACTGGTTACACATTGTGCTGCTAACTGAAAGGTCAGGAGTTCAAAACCAGCAGCCACTCCGTGGGAGAAAGATGAGGCTTTCTACTCCTGTAGAGTTATAGTCTTGCAAACCCTCAGGGGCAAACCCTGTCCTGTAGGGTCACTCTGAGTAGGAATCAACTCAGTGGCAGTGAAAAAATTTTAAGGTTGTCTAACAACTGCCCCCCAAATTACAGTAACATTTATTTGCTCAAAATTCTGCAATTTGGGTAGTGCTTATCAAAGACAATTCATACCATGTGGTGACTGCATGGATGACTTGACTGGGGCTGGAGGGTTCATTTCCAAGATGGCTGGCAAATTAATGCTGGCTGTTTGCTGTGTCCTCAGCTAGGCTGCTGGTGGGGACCCCAGTTTTACTGCGGGCAGCTTCTTTGTGTATGCAAATTGAGCTCTTACTTATAGCATGACAGCTAGCATCTAAAACGGAGCATCCCAAAAAGTTCAGCCACAATGTAGAATTTATCAAGATTCTGCCTGCATCATACTTGCTAATGCCCCACTGGTCAAAGCCAGTTATAAATGCATCAGCCTTGTATCTACACTTGAGGACTACTGCTTTAGATAGTACTGCAGACCATTCTATTATTTTGTTTCTCTTTTCATGCTTCTTGTCTAGCAGAGTCCTGAAACTCTCCAGTGCTTGCCATGCCCTACATTATGCTAAAGGCGCCTCTTGCTTGGCACTAGGCCATTATAGACAATGGGCTAGACCTAACTGGGCTGGGCATGCAAACTGCCCAGTTTTGCATATTATAGGGTGAATAATCCAATTAGAACGGCCCACTTCAAAATTTGAATTCAGGACACACAAAGGCAAGGCAAGTAAAAGCAAAACAAAAGGAAGCTTAATTTTGAGTGATCAAAAGAGCTGCTTTTAATCTTGAGCGGTGAGCCACAATGCACTGCCTTGAGGCCCGGCTCTGCGGCTGCAGCGATGCTACCCTGGGCTTTCCCACTTCCTGGTGAGACTCTAATTTAAGCATGCCTCTCTTGCAAACAAGAGCGAGTGTCTCTTCCGTGTTTCTGGGAAGATCCTCCCTCTTGTCTCGGTGGCTTGGATGTCAGCCTGTAGACCGTGGCGACTGATTTTATATGGGAGAAAACAAGTGACCTATCTTCATCAAGAGACTCGTTAAGGCTTGATTTCTTATTGCCTTTGAGGAAAACGGCAAACTCTTCTTTCATCCAAGATGTAGGAATTTTTCCACTTACGAAGATGCCTTTGGATAACTGCAATACATGACTGTTAGGGCACGTCCTAGAATTGCCATAAAATCCTGTAAAACACACCTTTTCCTGTTTCTCTCTCCTCTGATCGCCCTTAGTATATTAGTGAAGGCGGGGCCCAAAACATCCCAGCAGGTTTTCCCTGCCCTCTCACCCCTCCAGTCCTTTCTTCCAAACAAAGGGAGAAAGCCAGCCGGCACCGGCTGCGGGAAAGATGGCCTCGCGGAGGCAAAAGCGAGATGTGAGGTCTCGGTCAAGCCTGAGACCGAGGGGCGGGGCGAGCGGGCAGCCAGGTCCCGGCAGCTGCCAGGGCCCACGCTAGGCCCGCCGGCCGCGCCGAGAAAGGTCGCTCGTGGCCCGCACCGCCGAAGGCGGCCGTGGGTGAGACCCTCCCAGCCAATCCACGGAGAGGCGGAAGTGACGTCCCTCGCGGCGTCCTTTGCAACGTCGTCTCGCAGCGCCGGAAGCGGGGCGGCGGGGATGGAATAAAGTGAACGTGTCAGGGTCGCTGGTCTCTAGGTAAGGCAGCCGCCAGCCTGCCTCCTCCGCTGGCCTGGTTGAAAGTGGCGACTTTGGGGCCTCAGGCTGCGGACGCGACAGTCCCTGCGTCATTGATGTGCTTTGTTGAACGTGTTCAAGGCTTCTTTCCCGGTGGGGTGGCCTCAGCCCGGGTGCTCTCGGGGACTCCTCGCCCGCCACACCGCTCCTTGTTGCAGTGCCGTTTGGGTTTCTGCCCCCCTTCTCCTCCAGACACCTGCGCCTAGTTGCGTCGCCACACAAGCAGAGAACAGGTCAGTTAGAGTGGCACTGACCTACCCATGAGGCAGCGCAGCCTGTCCGGAAGGACCCACGTCTCCGGAAACGGAGGAACTTACCTTGAGTGCCTTCCCAGGAGAGCTTTCACTTTCTAAATGACAGCGTCCCCAGCGGGCCTTATGTGGTGTCCAGAAGAAGCTGCCTTTCCCCCACACGTACAATTAGTTATACCCCGTATAGCAGGGATGTCATTCCCATTTGGAGTGACTGGTCTAGGTTGCGGAGCCTTCTGGGAATTAGCCTGGTTTTGAGACTGCTGTAGAGTCCTCAGAAGCAGGGTTTCCTAGGGTTGGCTAATACACATTTGTGCCCTCCGCCTCAGCTGCACCGTCATTGTGACTTTTCCCGCGACGCCAGCTCCTGCTTTTACCCTCTCTTTACTGTTAACAAGGGCGGGAGTAGTATTGGGATGTGTTATTGACTAGGATCGAGCTTTATTTACATACGTTCCTATTTAGCCCTAGTTATTAATATTAGTCTGCAGTTGAAGAAATAAAGGCTTGCATACTTTTCTTCAGGTCACACAGTGAACAGGTGGGGAAGCCAAGAATGGAACTCAGTCCGATGGGCGTCAGGTGCCTGCTGTAAACCTCTGCATTGTATTGATTTATCTGTGTGTGTGAAGCTCCCAGTCACTTCACTCTGTTTCTACCTCACCGTCTGTTTTATGGAGAAAATTGAAGTCATCAGACCCTCTTTCCCTTAGATTTCTGCTACCTTCTTACCTGGTATTGCATTTACACCGATCTTTAATTTAACCCTCTCGTGATAGAATTTTCTGCTTGGAATATTTTGGGTGGGTACCGTGCGTTTTCATTAATGGAAATTGCTGCTATTGAGTTGACTCCCAACTCGTGGCAACCCTCTAGAACCAGGGTAGAGCTGCCCTTGTGAGTTTTGACACTAACTCTTTACAAGACTAGACTGCCTCATCTTTCTCTCGTGGAGTGGCTGATGGTTTCGTGGTGAACCTAATAAGACGGTAGGATGGCCCCTGTGGATTTCCGAGGTTGTAAATATTAAGGAAATAGAAAGCCTCATCTTTCTCCCACAGAGCAGCTAGTGGGCTCAAACTGCTGACCTTGTAGTTTGCAGCCCATTGTGTAGCCACTATGCCACCAGAGCTTCTGCCAGTAATGGAAGGCATACTGAAATCAAGGGGGGAAATGTTTTTCAGGTAATCATGGTGGTGGGATTAGTTGGCGAAGTCCGTTTTTCCAGATTCACACATTACACAGGTCCCTGACAGACATGAGCACATACTACAGCTGGGATAGCAGCTTCCCAAGAAACCTGAGAAGCTGAAAATATTGGTGGGTGACATATATCCCATGAGTCATGAACTGGTTAAAATTAGCCTCAGAGGATGGGCTTTCTCCTTTGATCAGATGCCTGCTGTGTGTCAAATATTGTATTAAGTGCAGGGGATATAATGATAAGCAAAAATGGGCATGACTTTATAGAGCTTGTAGTTATTGGAGGGAAGGAATATATTGGAGATTCAGAAACACCTATCCTCTGGCTCCCCATTGTTTAAAAGGCTTCATTCCTGGATGTTGGAGCTGGAGGCTGAAATAGGCCAAGATGTTTAAGGTTAGCCACGTAAGCACTGTGCACTTACAGCTTCAGCTTCTCAAGCAATTGCAATAGGACCATCATGATTTTGCAACTTTGCAGAGAATAGAGTGAGTATGTGTTTGTGAGGGCAGAAGGGATAATTTCTTTTACTGTAAAGACAGCCACCCTGCACTACTCCCAAACTGCATTTTCTCCTGGCTTTTATTGTCAGCATGGGTAGTCACCACATGACTTAATAAACACATACTTCACTTCTCAGTCCATCCCTGCTTACTCGTCAGCTTCTGGCAAATGCCAAAACATACCTTGTGAACATACGGCGTTTAAAAGAGACCTGCCTGTAGCACCGCTCTCGTTTGAGGCTTCAAGCCGAAGATTTTAGATTTACGGCTAACTCCCCAGGCACTGAGTCAACCCCTTCACAAAGACCTCCTGAAACTACCTTTTGGACTTCTTGAGGGGTCCACATTCCCCTCACAGCCTCCCTGACTAATCTCTGACTAGATTTCCCCCTGCCAGCTCGCCTACACACAGCTGTTGGCAGTTTTCTTTGAATTCTGTTTTTTCACTTTACTGTGTAGCTCAACACTTGGCATTTGTCGCCTGTTGATTGTCTGGCATTTAAGTGTCTCCATCTGTTCTTTCAGCACTTCTGCCCATTTAAATGATGCTCTGGCATAGCTTCTCACTTGCAGCCGTGGCCTGCCTTTGGGTGCCCTCATTTGTGCCTTTCAGAGGGGAATGCCCCCTCCCAATCCATTTCATCTGTATCAGTCCCCTTGGCTCCTAGCCCTGTCCTTCTAGAAGCCTCTAACCAGTCCAATTCCGAAGAATTTGTGCGTCAGCAGTGGTGTGCTCACTCCGCTTTGTTTTTAAAAATTTAACGTGGGTCAAAAGCAAGGGAGAGCAAATGGTCAGGTGGTGCATTTCAACCTACCTTTATCTGCCATAACGGACTTTACAATACTCTATCTGATAGCAAGGCTAGTCACATCCCTGACTGTGGTCATTTGCATGACCTGGTCTTTGGAATTCTAATTCCTAAAAGTCTGGTTTTTTCCCCCCCCCCCCCCCCATTTATGAGAAGTTCTGCCTGGATTGCAGGCTCATTCTCCAGCCAGGTGATGTTAGAGGCTTAAAGCTTCCTTAAATTTCTAGAGAGACAGCCCAGAGACCCAGTCTTGTCCCTGCCCATAATATCCTGCTCCACTTTCCTGGTGAGCTCATTCTCTGTTTCAGCTCTAATGACAGTTCCATGCCTCTCATTTAAATTTACATGAGGGAGTTCAAAAAGTTTGTGGGAACATTCCATGCACATTTAATCCCATTTTTCCATGAAGTTTTTGAAATCCTCTCATAGATTCCTCTCTCCTGAACTTCATGCTCATCCATCCCAGTTTGACCATAGGATCTCGCACAGGTAATTTAAATGAATTCTGTTTCAATCTGAATTTGTTTCTCAACATACTACCCTCTTCTCCAGACTGTGTCTCCCTCAGTTTGGTGAACGGGCAGCTTCCAAGTTAGCAGTCTTGGTGTCTCTTGACTCCTTTGCCATTCCCAAATGCAGTCAGTAATCAAGTCTGTCTTTGCAGTTGCTCCCAGATTTGTCATCTTTTCCATCCTTTTTGCTTGAGCCTTGATTCAGGCTTCATTTCTCTCCTGGTTTTTTTGCCCTCCTCTCGTTTACTGATACCCACATAGCCATCAAGGTTGTTTAATGAACGCTGCACTTTCTGGCCATCTTCCTGCCCTCAGACTTCTGCTCTCTGGCTGTTGCATCAGGACTGCTCCTCTCCACATGGCCAAGTGATCTGCACACACATCCCCTGCTTCCACAACCGCGTCTCTGGTCCCTCTCCACCAACCCCTGTGCCCCACAGTCATGCCACATGGCTACTTTGCGCATGGGTGCTTCCGAATGCCCAGAACAGCTGCCCCTCCAGGGTGGATGTACACATTCACAACAGAATCTGTAGATTGGCAGGTGTTTTCTTTTTAAACTTTTTATTGTGAATTAGTCGAAGACTTCCAGGGCAGATCATACACATTTTATTTCAAGGCATCCATGTAATCTCCGGTATCCTACTTCCTTCCCGTGTTCTGTTTCCATTCCTTATGCTTCTGAAACTTCTGCCCTTGGGTAATGGCTGCCTCTTTGAGCTTAAACATCTGATTATTCTAACATGGTGGGGGGGAGTTTAGTTCCAGATCTAAAGAGTGACTAAGGGCCATAGTCTTGGGATGTGCCCTACCAGTCTCTCATCTGACCACTAAGCCTGGTCTCTTTTGCATTTTACTTCTGTTCCTCCCACTCAGGACTTTTTTGGGGGGGTGCGGGTGGAGGCGGTGGCATAGAATTAATATATCATACAATTCAATAGTTCAATCATATTAAGAAGAGTTGAACAATCTTCACCACGGTCAATTTTACAATATTTTCTTCTTTTCAGTAGTTATTGTTGTTAGCTTTCCATTTATTCCCCACCCCCCCACCTCTCTTCTCATGTCCCTAGGTATTTATTAACCCAGTTACTGTCTTTATAGCTCTACCTATCCTGGATTTCATATACCAAAAAACCCAACAAACCAGAACAAAATCAAGAAACAAAACAATAATGATGACTAAGTAAAACGGGAAAACCTTATAGAAAAAAAGCAGGAAATATTGAAAACTGGAACAAATTTGAAACGAGTTAAAAGGGAGAACAAATAAAAGGTGTTACATTCAAACCTACCCACACCTGTCATACCAGACAAGACTCTGTGTGATAGCCAGGCTGTCCACATCCCTGGTCTATGGCCAGAGGGGATTCACCAGAGACTGAATAAAGGTGAGGATCCTGCAAATGGGTTTTGGGCTTTCCCTGCCACCCTTAGCCCTCTGTAAACTGTCCACCCAGGATTTCTAACATGACCCTTTGAGAGCAGCTGGTGGTGGCAGGGCACTGTCTGTTTCTTCTGGTCTCGGGGTTGTGGAGACTGATACTCTCCCGTTGAGTAGTTGTTTCTCTGTATCTTTCCGTTTTGATCACTTTTCTTTCCTGTGGATGAGGAGAGACCGATAGTTGCACCCTAGATGGCTGCTCATGAGCTTTTAAGATCCCAGACTAAATTTGCATGTTTATTGTGACACTTCTGGCATATGGCAGTAAGAGATGTTGTTCGACCATCAGAAAATTACGGTAATTAAAGAAGGGAAACCATCTAAAGATGAGTTGTGGCTGGAAGAACATCCTCTCTTCTCACACATTTGGTTCCCTGGCAGGCAATTCCTTTCCATCATTTAAACACAGCATACACAGCTCTTCCTCTTAAGCCCTTTTGGCACTTTCTGAAAGAGTCAGTCCTAATGTAGTACTTCTCAACAGTGCTTATCATATTGTAGTAACTGGGCTAAGAATGTTTCCTCCCGTACTCTACTCTGAGTTCCTTAAAGATAGGGACAATGCTTTATTTATTCTTTTGTTTAATTGTGGATGCACACACAGCCCAACTCATGGCCACTACACCACCAGGGTTCTCTATGTATATGTGTAGCTGCTGTAAAATTCACTGTTTTATCTATAATTTGGTGATATTAATTGCATTAACAATGTTTTAACAATCATCAATACTATTTGTTTTCAAAACTTTACACCCAAATATAACTCTTAACCAGTAAGTAAAACCTCCCCTTTCCATGCTTTCCCTAATCCTTATAACCACAAACCTACTTCTTATCTCTATGCATATATCTTTCCTAGTATTTCATATAAGCGGGAGCAAACAATATCCTTTTGTGTCTGTCTTTTTTCACTCAGCATAATGTTTTCTAGGCTCATCCATGTCATTGCACCGATCAGCATCTCATTTCCCTTTCTCGTCCATTGCATATGTGTGTTTCTCTGTTGATGGACACTTGGGTCCTTTCCACCTTTGTGCGCTTGCGAATCATGCAGCGGCGGCGAACAATGTGAGCCTCTGAATCTCAGCTTTCAGTTCCTACGATGTACACCCAGGAGAGGAATTTCTGGGTCACGTGGTAATTTTATGCATACCTCTGAGGAATCTCCCCACTTTCCCCACATAATTGTACCTTTCTCCATCCTTCGAATCCTCAGCATGTCGTTCAGTATAGAGTATATCACCAAACCTAGCAAATATCTGATTCAGACCCAGAGGCAACTACCCACATTATCACATTGAACCCTTACCACCGCCTCATGAGGCCTGTCATCCTCTCATTTTACAAGCGGGACGTCTAGCCTAGGGAGGTGAAGTCATGTGCCTTAAGGTGAGCAGCTGGTAAGTGGTTTGTGTGCTGATGCCGGGCTGTGGCCCAGGAGGCCATGTCCTGCGGGTGCAGTCCTTCAGCAGTTCTCTCACTCTCTGCTGTGTGTCTCACAGTGATGATGCGGGCATGCTGGCTGGTGAGGCAGGACAGCCGGCAACAGCGAATCAGACTCCCCCATTTGGAAGCAGTGATGATTGGGCGCAGCCCGGAGACCAAGATCACTGACAAGAAATGTTCTCGGCAGCAAGGTAACTAACTGGACAGAGGAACGCTGAGATGCCGGTCTTGCTTCCTCGGGACCAGATGCACATTGCCTGCGTGCTGTTGTTGGAAAACCTGTCACAGAACTCAGGGATGGAACTCTTGGCCTCACCTGGGCCCCATCCATCCTTAATTCTGTCTTCCTGTCAGGGTGGCATTTTGGGAGTGGTGGGAGGGAGTATCAGGTGAACCCTGGAGGCAGGCCGACACCATCTTACTAGCCTGGGATCATAGAACTGGGGTCTGCATCCCAGGAAAACCCCTTGCTGGGCAGTGGGAACTATGACATCTGAGGCTGAAACCATATCTGAGAAGGCGGGGAGGAGGGGCTGGAGGCCGTTTCGTCTTTTCTTTATTGCCCCTCAGGAAGCTGGTGCTTCAGTAAAAACTAAGTTTAGTTTTTTCTTGGGGTCCACTGAAATGACTCCCAGGAAAAGGACTTGCCACGTGCCCCATGGTTTCCCTGTGAACTTCACAGCACGCACATACTCAGTGGAGCCACGCCTGCAGTGGGACCCAGCACTGCCTGTGGCCCTCCCACATGAGGGCCTCTGAGTGGGAGTAAAGCCGTGCCGGTGGCCGGGGCCGAGACACAGATGCAGACCCTGCTGCTCTCTGCTTCCCGCACCCCTGTGCCAGCCGTGAGCCCTCTACGTCCTTCCCTGATGAGCACTTGCGGCGTCCCTTCTGGGCTCCCAGGCTCACCCCAGACACTGCGCTCATGTATCTGAACCTGGTTGTTAATGTTATTTCCCATTTTTCCCAGCATTCCTCTTTCCAGAACATTCCTCCTATTTAAGACCAGCTGACCTTCTCTTCCATGAATGCATCTTTTCCCTCCTTCACCGTTGAAGGCTTCAGATATTTTATCTAATCGTGGAAGCTGATTTAATCATGAGTCCATAACCTGTAAGAGGGATGGGTCCCCATCCCCAGCTGCCATGTTTGATCCCAAGCAGGCCAGGGACTCTGGAATAGGGTGACGGTAGGGGTTGGTTCCATGTGGTGCCTTATAGAGATATTAACGATAGGCGCCCTGGTGGTGCCACTTTAAGCAGGGCTTAAAGTGTTTGTCTACTAACCAGAGGTTGACATTCTAACCCTATCAGCAGTTTTGTAGGAGAACGATGTAGCTGTTTGCTCCCATGAAAACTGCAGCCAGGGAAATCCGCTGAGCAGTACTCTGTCCTAAAGGTGGTCATGAGTCAGAATGGACTTACTACCAATGGGCTCTGTTAACTCTGTAAAGCATTTCGGTCTCAGAAACCCACAGGGGCAGTTCTGCGCTGTCCTGTGGGGGTGCTATGAGTTGGAATCGACTTGGTGGCAGTGAGTTTGGAGTGGAGCATTTCCGATGGGGCATTTTATGGAGGATTTGTGTAGCAGACACACAGGCCTTGGCCAAAATGACGACGACGACAAACAAACAAGCTCAGGGCCGTAGAATTGATGCTGGTTCATAGCGGCCCTCTTGGACAGAGTAAAACCGTCCTGTGAGTTTCTGAGACTGGAACTCTCGACGGGATTAGAAAGCCCATCTTTCTCCTGGGGAACAGCGGGTTTTCGAACTGCTGGTCTTGCCATGTGTCCCCACTAGGCCAGGCCGTGGGGAAGCAGCTGCCAAATTGCCCGATGTAGTGAGACCTCGTTGTCCTGTTGGGAGAAACGGAGCAAGTGTTTGCTTCTAAGTGGCATTTACATTGAACTTTTTCTAATCTCTTTCAGTGCAGTTGAAAGCAGAGTGTAACAAGGGCTATGTCAAGGTGAAGCAGGTATGTGTATTTGTGATTTGGGTTTCCCTGTTACACTGGGTGATTTTCTAGTGCTGTTGAGTGTGAGCATTCCTGCCAGCCCATGGAAAGGTCTCCTTTCTCTTGGAGGCTGCTCCCAACACACTTGCATCCTGGCAGAGCTGGGAAATGGGGAAGAACTACTTGGCCTCTACCAAAGGAATACAGGGCCAGGGAGAGGGAGAGGTGATGCTTTAACTGTGGACCAGGGGGAGGGAGATGTGGTAGCACAGTCAGCACTGCCATTCAGCCACAGTCCAGACTAACAAGGGTTGTGTGGGCCAACGGGGGAGTATGATTGACTTAGGAAACTGCTTCTGTGGGGAAATGCATTTCCGACTTCCTGTAGCCAATTTACAAATGAACATTTGGAAATAGACCCTGCTGGTAAATGGGTCTATTATGGAAGGGGCTACTGCTATTATTAAAATTATTTTTTTATTATTACCTCTCTAGGTAGGGGTCAATCCCACCAGCATTGACTCAATCAAAATTGGGAAGGATCAAGAGGTGAAGCTGCAGCCTGGCCAGGTTCTCCACCTGGTGAATGAACTTTATCCATACATCGTAGAGTTTGAGGAGGAGGCAAAGAGCCCTGGCCTGGAAACACACAGGAAGAGAAAACGGTCAGGTGACAGTGATTCTCTAGAAATGGCTGTTGCTGAGGAAGCTGAGCCAGAGGCAAGACTTCCTCCCAGAAGCAACTCTATCCAGTGCGCTGTGCCCCCTAAGAAGGGGGAAGACGCAGCTGCCACAAAGGTAAGGGTAGGGAATTGACAGATGATGTGGAGATTAAACGAGGGCATTTTGACACTGTCAAACCCAGTCATGCATAAAGAGCTATTGAGGGTGAGGAGAGTTATTAACCATAATGACAGAGTAACCTTATTTGTAGAATGAAAATCACTTGGCTGAGTGTCCTTTTATTTATTTTGCCCTTGAATTCCTGAAAGTAGAGCAATAATTAGAAGGTAGCCTTAACGTTGAATCACTTAAAACTGAGTCAATTGTTTGTGTATCTTTAGAAGGTTAACCTGGGAAACCTTTCCTTGGCCCTATAATTACTATCCTGACACATCACAGTGGAAACTGAGGCTGTTGGTGCCAGTGAGAGGGCACAGAAGACATGCACACTGGGTGACATTTCTGGCCTCCGTGTAGACACTCAGCGCTGAAACAGGAAGACAGTAGGGAGGGATGTTAGTCCTAAAAGGTAGACGAAAGCAGAGGAATCTAGCTACATTCCAAAAAGTAACCTCATTTCCAAATTGATTAATGCCAGATGTAGCTGGAGGCATTTGTGGTTGACATTGCCCTGTTTATGTCTTAGGAATCATTAGGCCACTGGAGTCAAGGTTTGAAGATTTCTATGCAGGATCCCAAAATGCAGGTAAGAATATATTTGAGATTAGGCTTTATTTCATGTTTTAAAGTGACCATTTCACAGGGACCACATCGACGCTTATAGATGAAATCAGATCAGTTTTTTGAATGAGTTTTTGGCCTCTTTGGTGAGAACCAAAGGGCTTTTCCCAGTGGCAGTAAGGGAGCCACCTAAATGTGTTTGAAAGAAGCTCAGTGCGTCACATAAACGTCCCCTCACCTGTGCCCCAGTGTTGAACTTGTTGACTTCCAGGAGCTTTTGACTGTGCTGCCTTGCGGCTAATAGTCATGAATCACTCTGAGAGGACTTTTCGTTCTCCTGAAATGAGCTCCTGGCCTGGCCCTCAGCTAGGTGCGCGTATCACATTGCCCTCGGGGTGGAGGAGGTGCTTTGGATCTGGGCCACCAGCTCCAATGAGCTGTTTTGTGTTCTGCATCTTCCACATGCTCCGGCTAGAGAGATGGCGGAGAACGCTGACTCTGGAGCCTATGCGACCTGGGTTTGAGTCCCAGACTTCCCACCTGTTAACTGTGCGACTTTGCCCAAAGCACTCGATCTGTGTCTAGTGCTCCCATCTAAAAGATGGTGGTGGGGATTTACAGTGTGTGGATTGATGACTGAAACAGCACCTGGCACATTAAGCCGCTCAGAAATGTCTGTTCTCTTCTCTGTGCCTCTGCCAGGTTTACAAGGATGAGCAGGTGGTGGTGATTAAGGATAAGTACCCCAAGGCCCGTCACCACTGGCTGGTCTTACCTTGGGCCTCCATTTCCAGTCTGAAGGCTGTGACCCGGGAACACCTACAGCTCCTCAAACACATGCACGCCGTGGGGGAAGAGGTGATTGCAGATTGTGCCGGCTCCAGCAAACTGCGCTTTCGCCTGGGCTACCACGCCGTCCCTAGCATGAGGTAAGTGTGTGGGTGGTGCCGTCACTGCCTCCTGGTTCCATCCAGGTGGACCCGCCGAGAGTGCCGCCAGCCCCAGGGCCTGGGGTAGTTCGGGATGCTTCTGAGGCAGGGGTGGGGGCACCGAACCTTCTACCCTCTGCTGGACTTTCTTGCAAGCTTGAGTTTCTGCTTCTGAGTGTAATTCAGTCACGTCTAATCACATATAGCTCTTTACTGCTCTCCAAGTAGAATTCTTTGAGGGCCTAGCATAGAACTAGATGAAGCCACTGCATTTTACTCAGATGAAGAATTGTGGTCAGTGCCTTTTATCAGACATTTCCAAAGGCTCTGTAGCCCCCCCAAATGCGCAAGGACCATGGGTCCTGAGGAAACAAACAATGGCTTCTATGAGGGCAGCTTGAGAAATCGGGTCTTTCAAAGAGAGTCAGAGCCAGGAGTAGTCTGTGTCCTTTTGCCTCATGCCCGGGAGGATTGTTTTTTCTTTTTTTTTTTGGAGAATTCAAGCACGATGTAGCTCCACAGTTCCTTCCCTATAAGCAGCAACAAGATCATTGGCCTAATGGGATGTCATTGTTTTTAACCTTGATTTTTTTTTTTTAATCACCCAATCCTGTCATGAGGGTGGGAGGTGGGGGAGGGAGGGTAAAAACAGGAACTGATACCAGGGGCTTAAATAGAATGTGTTTAGAAAATAATGACGGCAACATATGTACAAATATGCTTGACACAATTGATGTATGGACTGTTATAAGAGTTGTAAAAACCCCCAGTAAAATGATCTTTAAAAGAAAAAAGAAAAAAATTCAGGACTTTCAGAGACCCCGGAAGATCCCTGAAGCAGAGGATCCCAGTTGTTGAAAATGACTTACGCTGTTAAAATCTTAACAAACCGTTCTCAAACTCTTAAAAAAAAAATCACTCAATCCTGTTACATATTATTTGAGTTGATAATTGTGACTTAGAGTACTGGCCACTTTACCCAAATAAAACGTCTGTGCCACATTCCACATTCTTTCTCCCATCCCCAGAGGCTGTCCTTTAAATTGAAGCATAATCTACAGTCGAATGCATCGTAAGATGATCAATGTGATCAGTTTTGATAAGTGAGAAAGACAGTTACTAATTGGTCCCTTATTTGTGCACAGTTCTTTTTGTCTTTAGCCATACTGTATCCGGTTCTAATAGTTTTCCAAAGTTACTTAAAAGGTGACCTCTTTTCTAACTCCCATGCCCTTTTTAGTGTGGTTCCATTATTCATTTATAATCCAGATCAGCCCTTTTGTTACTGCTTATGTTCCATTTTGATTCCCCTCATGTACTGGTCAAATAGGATAATTTACTGGGAAAATGCGAAGCGTTACTGTCATTTCTGGATTCAGAATGCTTTTGAAATAGCATTCTGTGGGGAAAAGCTGTTTGGTCCTTAGGCAAATGGTTCAGGACCACCACCTTTCACGGTTCAAGGCCCATGGGAGCGTGCTGATGGCTCAATCTCGGAGCTGATGAAGCAGCATCTGGCCCGTCTCTGCCGGAGATAAAACCGACACTTTCCTCATGTGCCCTGGCCAGGCTGCTGAAGCAGCAGTCTGCGGACTTATCCATTACTTCATGTTCCCAACCTGGTCCTCCCCTCCTGTATGTGAACAGCTTGGCTGATGTATTGGTGTTTCTTTGTACACCCTCAAACAATCGTAAAACTGTCCCTTTGTGTCATCTTGTCACGAGTTGCAGGCTACGTGGCAGGAAGGCTGCCTGCCACGAATAAAGTCCTGGACCTTGTACCGTCTGTGCTGAAGCACCCCCCCCCCCAACTGCATCTGTCTGTTTCCGTTTTATCTGTAAGCTTCCTCTTTGCAGAGCGTGCCCCTCCTGAACCCATTAGATTTGTAAGATAAGAGCTGGACTTGATACTCTCTTACAGCACTCTACTTGATTTAACCTGTTCAAATGGAAACTCTTGATTTCCTTTCCCAAATCTGCTTGTCCTCCACCTTCTCCATCTCAAGAAGTGGGACCACCCAGGGTTTTAGGCCCAAACCCAGTTTAGTAAACCCTGGGGGGTCGATCCCCCAATACCTGCAAATCTGGCTGCTGCTCAGCATCTAAGCTGCTGCAGCTCTAGCTTCGCTGCATTCTCCTTTGGCTTGACCTGCCGCAACCGCTTCCTAACCAGTCTCCCCATGCCCTGCTTACGGCCCCTACCATCCTTCCTCAGAGCACAGTGAGCAGAGCTTGAAAACGTACAAACCAAGTACCAGCACTCCCTTGTTTAAAGTCTCTCTGTGACTTCCCAGTGTGATAGATTAAAATGCAAATTCCTTGTCTGTTGCAAGACCCTTTCCGATCTGGCCTCTGCCAGGTCTCCAGCTAGTCTCTTCTTTACCCACTACACTCAGCCACAGTAATCTCCTTTCTGTTCTTTGATTGCATTTTTAGGCTCTCTCTCATTTTAGGGCCTTGGCACTTGCCCTCCTCGTTCCCTGACATACACCTTCCCCAGACTTAGCTTGCCTGGTCACTCTTTCAGGTAAATCACTGCCTGGGAGAACCCTTCTCTGAACACTCTTTCTTGGACAGATGGAGCCCCAGCCATGGCTCTTAACTGTCCCATTTCCAGGTTTTGTTACTTCTTAGCAATGTAACAATTTGACATTTTCTTGTTTGTTCATTTGCTTATTTCATGTTTCCTCCATTAGATTATGAAAGGGCAGAAATAGTCTTATTTATTGCTGTATTCTCGGTGCCTAGAGTAGGGCTTGACACTTTGTAGGTACTTAAGAAACATTAAATATTGTGAAATGAGTGAATTGAATGAACACACTATCCATATTGAATAGACTCATTCCTGTACTATTTGTCATTTTTATTTATCCATGGTTGCTAATTGGTTTAATGGTCACTTTTCCCCCTTTCCACTAGCCAGGTGCACCTTCACGTGATCAGCCAAGATTTTGATTCTCCTTGCCTTAAAAACAAAAAACACTGGAATTCTTTCAATACAGACTACTTCTTAGAATCCCAGGGTAAGTGTGTGAGGCCTGGTTGACTAGAGAAACAAATCCAGTAACATTCATATATGTGTAAGAAAGAGGTTTACATCAAGAAGTAGTTACGTATCAAGAAAACATCCCAGCCCAGGCCAACTCAAGTCCATAAGTCCGATAATAGTCCATAAGTCTCTGCAGACTCTCGCAGCCACATGCAATGATACAGAATGCTGGTGGGTGCCAAGTCTTGTGGATCCAATGATGGTGGTAACATGGCAGGGCTCTGGCAGCTCCCAGGGGCAGCAAGCTGGAAGGTGAAGGCAGAGAGGAGGGAGGTTCCCAGGACCTTCCTTATGAGGAGGCCACGCCCACAAGGAGGCACCATCAGGTGTGACCTAATCGACAGGTTGAATATCACCCCTACACTTTTACCCATCTTTCAGTTGACACGAAATTATGTAACTACCACAGTAAGCAATGTCCTTTGGTTTTCACGTTTGCTTCATTTTCTCAGCTGATCTTCTACTCAGTTGTTTTCCTGAACAATGACCTTCCCTCAGGACACCCTGTACAGCTAGCTTTGTGGTCTCTCTAAGGCAAGCTCTGTTGAAAGACAATGTGTATTATAGTCCAATGGCCACTTTTCTGGGAAGCGGTCCTCTTGAGCGATAGAGAGAGCTGCTTGTCAGGGTCAAAAATGTGTCCTGTTGCACTGTGGAGGATTTAAGGTTCTCCTGAGGACTGTTGGAGTCTGTGAACGAGCACTCTCTCAATAGTTCTTTGTCTTCTGCCATCAGCTTCCGGGGGTGCTCAGGGCTGCCTCTTGTCAGGAGATGACTATGTACCCAAGGCAGGTGCCCTTTATTTTCTGGTGTAGACACTCTACAGCTTCAGCATGCAGGGTTGTTAACGATGACAGCTACCGTTTACCATGGGGCTGGCAGGGGAAAGCACTGGGTTGGCCCTTGACAGAGTAGCATAAATCACGTAGCGCGTAGCTGGAGACATTGAGTCATCTCACAGCGAGGACATTCAGATTTAGACGCTCATCAAGCCCATCTTCCTGGTAGGACGTCCAACCTCACTTTTCCGGGCTTTGCTTGGCATATTTTGATTTGCACGCACGTTTCCCGTCTTGGTCTCTTAAACCGTCCTTCCGGAGGGGCTGGGATCTGAACTTGTTTCCTCTCGCCTGCAGCTGTGATCGAGATGGTCCAAGAGGCTGGCAGAGTGACCGTTCGAGATGGGACGCCCGAGCTCTTGAAGCTGCCTCTGCGTTGTCACGAGTGCCAGCAGCAGCTGCAGTCCATTCCTCAGCTGAAAGAGCATCTCCGGAAGCACTGGCCTCAGTGACCCGCCAATTGTTTAGCAAGAACGCCGGGCACTTGCTTCGATTGCTTGTGAACTTTTCCTTATTTCTTGAATTAAAACATGCAGCCACTCCACAGCCCCCTCCCCCAAAAGAAAAAAAACAAACCCAAACAAAAAACTTATTCTATTCTTTTCTCCCCGTGCCTTTTCGTGACGCTGATCACATTCTTGAGTTGAGTAACCATCCTCATTTTCTGAGTTGTTTTCCCCCCTCACGGTCCTGCTTAAGTTGTGGGAGAAGAGACTGAGCTTTCTACTCCCATAAAGGGTTACAGTCTTGGAAGCTTATAGGGGCAGTTCAACCCTGTCTTTGAGGATCACTGTAAGTTGGTATTGACGTGATGGCAGTATTGTCTTATGACCCCATTAAGATAGGTCTTCAAAGAATCGAATGGTGTCAAAGCTGACACTTGTTACTAGTGAATCAAAACTATCATTTGGTTTCAAGAAGACTTCAGGGACGTATTTTTGGCTCAAGATTTAAAGTTTATGTCAGAGCAGTAGTTCGAGCCCTTCATCTGACCTTCATGGCTTCAGGAAATCTGGAGTCCGTGAGAATCTAGAACTTAGTTTGGCGTTTTCTCTTTTTTTATTCAGATCCTTCTATGGAATCTTTGATCAAAATGTTCAGTAATGATGGTAGCGGGGGCATCATCTAGTTTCTCTGATCTCATGGCAAAGGAGGCAGTTGTTTATAGAAGCAACATTCTATATCCTTCTGCACATTCCATATCCTTCTATTTCTTGATCCAGGTGAGTAGAGACCACATGCGGTGCCTTAGATGGCTGCTCACAAGCTTGCAAGACCCAAGGTGCAATGGAGATTCTAGACATGTCATTAGATTAATTGGGGCGGCTCATGATTTGTCTTCCTGAGTCATACAGCATACCACATAGGCCACAATCAGAAGGCTCCAACTCAGAAAATCCACTCAGCGAACCATACTTTACCTTAAGAAAACATCTGGTGCAGATTGTGTCAGGCCAGGTTGTCTAGAGAAATCCAGTGACATCTATGTATAAGAAAGAGCTTTGTATTAGAAAGGAATTATGTATCAAGAAGCCAGCCCGGTCTAACTGAAGCCCATAAGTCTGATGGTAGTCCATAAGTCTAGTGGTGGCAGTCAGCTGGTTCCTGCTGGCTTGCCCCAGCTCAGCAGAAGCAATATCTAATTTTTTGTTGAGTTCAGTGAACCAGTTGTTAAATGGTACTTGTAATAAGGTTGGCTGCTGGGCAGATTCCTGTGATGTGAAAATCACAAATTTAATTTCCTTACTCTTTTAAAAAAATAATTTCATTGGGAGTTCTTACAGAAACCATAACATTCCTTAGTTCAAGCAGTATTGTACAATTGCTACCATAATCAGTTTCAAAACATTTTCTTTCTTGAACTCTTTGATATCAGCTCCCCTTTATCTCCCACCACCCCTGAACCCTTATTCATTACTGTATCTTACACCATCTCATATATGTATTCATGCACAAGTCTGTTGTTTGCTCCTCTTGAGAGGGGTTACACAGTCATCAGTGCTATCAGCTCCCCCTTCCCACTCCCTCACTTCTGTTCCCTCAGGGAACCATTGCTCTTGTTACTGTTTCTGAAGGGTTTTCTATCTTGACTTTCATGTATCCAATGACCTTAATTATACAATTAATTGCGTATGTTCTTAATTATACACAATGAACATACACAAATCTAAGTTGATTAATGATGTAAAACTAAAGCCATAGTAAGGAGGGGGGGTACATATTAAAGAACTAGAGGATAGTTAAGTGTTTCATCAGTGATATACTGCACCCTGGATGTATTGTCCCTTCCATGTGGCCCTTCTGAGAGAGACTGTCCAATTAACTTGCAGGTGGGTTTTGGGTCTTCACTACATCCCCACCCCATCACATTGATTTGGTGTTGCTTCTCTTTGAACTTGATACCTTTTCCTATTGATACCTCATTGTGCTTCTTCATGTGGGCTTTGTTGCTTCCCTGCTAGATGGCCGCTTGTTTAACTTCAAGCCTTTAGGACCCAAGACGCTATATTTTTTAATGGCCGGGCGCCACATTTCTGCACCACATTTGCTTATGTACCCATTTGTCTTCAGCGATCATGCTGGGAAGGTGAGTATCATACAATGCCACATTATTAGGACAAACCGTTCTTGTACTGAGGTAAGATTTAAGTAGAGGCTCAAAGTCCATCTGCTTCCTTGTTGCATGTGCATTTATATACATATAAACAAATATACCTATATTTAAATATACATTCACATATCTATTTATACCTATATATTCTTTCTTTTTTCCTGGTTCCTTCTGCCCCAATATCATGTTTGCCCATCATTCACCTCTCAGGAATTCCTCTCACATTCCTTACCCTTTTTTAAAAAACCATTCATCTGTGCAACAATATAAGGGGGGTGTGCCTGCCCAAACGAAATATTTTTCAAACTTACGTAATTTTTTAAAAACAAAACAACCTTATCTGGGGGAGGGAAGGGAAAAGAGGAGCTGATACTAGGGGCTTAAGTAGAAAGAAAATGTTTTGAAAATGATGATGGCAACATATGTACAAATGGGCTTGATACAATTGATGTATGGATTTTTTAAATGTATAGATTATAAGAGCTCCAAGAACCCCCAATAAAATTATTTACATATATTAAAAAAAAACCATAACAACCTTATCACCTTCAAAGTACTCTCCATTACACTCAATACATTTGTCAAATCTGTGATTCCATTCTTGGGAACATTTTTCAAACTCATCTGGATGGCTGACAGCACCTCCCTCTTTTTTTCTTCCCTTCCTCTATGTCGTTAAATCTCTCCTTCATGTCCCTCTTCATTCGCAGAAACAAAAAAGTCGCTTGGAGCTAGGTCAGTTGAGTTAGGTGCATGGGGCTAGAGAGGCATGCTGTTTTTGGTCAAAAACTGGTACACTGAGGGCAACAGATGTACAAATGTGATTGACAAAATAGATGTATGTATGGATTGTGATGAGTTGTACAAGCCCCAATAAAATGATTTAAAAAACGAAACAACAACAAAAAAAACGTGCACAGAGATGGGTGAGTGAGCAGGTACGTTGTCGTGGTGGCAAAACCGGTCCCTCCCGTCTGTCACAAATCAGGCCATTTTTGGCATACACTATTAACTCAATCTTTTCAGTACCTCTAAATAGAAAGTATGGTTAACAGTGTGACCTGGTGGAACGAATTCCAAATGTACTACCCCCCTCACATCAGAAAACAAATAAACATCATTTTTGGGGGGTGCCCCCTCATATTCTAAGTGCTTGTAGTAATGCTTGTTCCATCCATAAATATTAAAAATTTAGAATTATGCTTTTTAACGTTCATTATATAAAATTCGTCATATTTTTGATGAAATACATTTTTATTACCATGCGTTTGTTCCCTCAGTAAACATCTTAACCTAAGAAGTGCCAACCAACCAGAGGGTGACACACTGTCATTCGTTTCAGCTGTGTGTTACACCCCAAATTCCCACAAGGATAATAAGTGAATTAGGCAATTCCTTAAAGGGTTCAAAGAGCTAAAAATGCGTTCAAAACAATTGCTGTACGTTCAGAAACGGGTTTTTCATAACATGTTCAGAAAAGTCGCCTCTTTCTAATATTCAAGCACATTGAGTACTGTCTAATTGGCCTGCCTCTAAAGGACTGGGATCCTTCTGCAGTGGAAAGATGGTTAAGGATAAATCGGGCAGCTGATGATGCTTGTTGAACATTCAAGTGAGGGTGCCAATCAAGAAGCAATATCGAAATGAAAGTTCTCATCTTTTTTGTCAGGGATTTAGTAGTTTTCATTGATATTTGAAAACTTATCTAGTTTTGTGCACCTCTTGTTTTTATTTAAGTGTTAACTATGAAATAATAAACCACCTTTAGGTGGTTTTTGATACTATAAAAAGTATGTAGTTTTTTAATACTTAAAGGGACCCTAGTGCCATAGTGAGCTATGCATTGAGCAGTGTGAGACCACCAGCTATCCAGAGGAGAAAGCTGAGGTGTTCGGCACCTATCAAAACTGATAGTCTCTGAAAGCCACAGGCAGTTCCACTCCGTCCAATAGCGTTGCTATGATTCAGAAGGGACTCATGGCAGTAAGTTTCTAGGAAGGGTCTGTGTTCTGGATTTGGTCACCTTTGGCCACCAGATGGCAGTCTTGGAACAATAAATTCTGTTGGTTTCTTTTAATTCAAAAGGCTTGTTTTTTTAAAAAAAATTATTTTTAATAGAGGCTACTTTGGAGAAGTTTTACATACATTTTAGGTTTCAAACATAAGAGTTTAAAATCACATCACTGTATACTTCATAAGTGTATGGTAAGGTGGAAGTCAGGAAAAACCAGGGTGTAGATAAGAATACAAAATTGGCTATCAGAAGATGTAGCGTCTGGGGTCTTAAAGGCTTGGAGGTAAACAAACGGCCATCTAGCTCAGAAGCAACAAAGGCCACGTGGAAGAAGCACACCAGCCTGTGTGATCACGAGGTTTCGAAGGGATCAGGTATCAGGTATCATCAGAACAAAAAAACATATCATTGTGAATGAGGGGGAGTGCGGAGTAGAGGCCCAAAGGCCATTTGTAGGCTATTGGACATCCCCTTACAGAAGGGTCTTGGGAGAGGATGAGCCAGTCAGAGTGCGATGTAGTAACAATGAAACATACAACTTTCCTCTAGTTCCTAAATGCTCCCTACCCGCTACTATCATGATCCCAATTCTACTTTACAAATCTGGCTAGACCAGAGGATGTACACTGGTACAGATAGGAACTGGAAAAACGGAATCCAGGATCGATGATCCCTTCAGGACCAG